ATGCGTCCTTATAAAATATTAGTAGGTTAAATGTCGGAAACTTTATGAATAATTTTTCTACTATGCGCACGTGCTAACGTTACTGGCTCAACATCATAGGTCGACATCGTGTTACGAGGCATGTCCTGCTTATTGGGTTGTACTTCATAGCTGCGAAAGCCCCTGGTATTTATGGCATTGAAGGTCTCTGCTTCGCTGCCAGTGTGGATGGTGGTCCATTGGATCACCTCTCTCAGCTACTCCTTCCAAAGGACGTGTTTGCTCTGCCTGCTTGTTGTTAATTCTCGGGCTTCGGGCTTTGTATGAATGAGCCTATTGTTATGCGCACATGTTAACATCTTTTGGCTCAATATCATACGTAGACATCGTTTCACGAGGCATGTCCTGCTTATTGGGTTGTGCTTCATAGCTGTGAAAGCCCCTGGTATTTATGGCATGGAAGATCTCTGGCGCGCTGCAAGTGTGGTTGGTGATCCATTGGATCACCTCTCTCAACGTGCATTTTATCTTCGACCGCCCCACAGTCGCATCTGCAGATGCTTGAATCAAGGTGTTTAGGCGCAGTATCCCTGCTTAAACTCTTCGTATGGCACGATACTGCAAAAATCGCCAGGATGCGCAGCTTCGTCAGCCTGCTTTTTATTTTTCAAGTTTTACTTCGTTTGATCATATACCCGCTGTAAAATTGCATTGGTTTTTTTACGCACTTGCATTGCCATCGCCTCGCGCCTGTATGGCACTGTGTGTTTCCGTGTCACGGCACCCTTCTATTAGGATTGGGCCCCCCAGCCAAAATTAAGGTTTTACCGAATCAGTCACACGATAACAGCTCCACGATAAGGATTACGACACGACCAAGAGGATTAGGATTGGGACCCCAGCCTCAGAGTTAGGATTGCGGTCCGGCCCCAGGATTAGGATTGGGACCCCCCCAGGATTGGGATTGGGACTCGGCCACAGGATTAGGATTAGGACCCCGACCCTAGGATATGGATTAGACCACCACTCTGGATTAGGGATTAGAAGTGGTCCAACCCTGTTGAGATTAGAGGATTGCTGACCGGTACCCACCCCCTGGATTAGAGGATTAGGACCACTTTGCACCCCTCTGGCTGGACACCTTTCCTAAAAACGTTTTCTGCGCTGCACTGTGCTGCTACTGCTACTGCTACTCCTGCCGGCCAACCACGCTTGCCTAATCCGCGAGACATGGCACCGAGAACACAATAGAAAACAGGGCACATGTACATATGCCGTACACCCATTGTAAGTATCATCTGGAAGATACTTAAGCTCATAGTCACCGCCAATCACCAGGCGGCCACAGCGCGGGCATGTAGTTGCGAACAGGTGGGAGGGCGGGAGGAATTGAATAAGTAGGGTATGGGAAAATTAAAGCGGAACACAAGGCTATATCGTTCGCCCGATACCAACAAGGCTGATTGTGTTGTAGTGTAGTGGAATGCTACAGGCCCGTGAAGTTTGTCTCTGGCCGGCACTACCCCGACCACGGTATAAGACCGCGCTCCGAACGTGAGTAGAATATGAATTCTAAACAAACCCACGTCCGTTCTGTGAGCAAAGACGATTTCAGTAAATTTATGGATTTCGGTAAGGCTGTCGTACAGATTCTTGATGTTCAGTTCCGGTGAATTCTTACAAACGATTCCTTGACAGCCATGTCAGTTTTCAGAAGATTTCATAATCATAATTGATTCTCATATTTCTTAATAAGCTCATCATTACTGTGTAGGTATCGCGCTACAACAGATTGGGTCACCTGTAATGACGAATCGGAAATCCAAGCAACCCTATCACGCAGCAGATTCCCCCCAAGCCCCACACACGCACATTTCCCGCACAAATTCCCCGCGCGCAGACTCAGAAATCATGTCTGGCTGACGGCCTACAGCGCTGACTTGAGGCTGTGCTGCGGCTTTGGTCTTTCCAAAAGAGCTTTGCTGATTTGTGCTGCTACTGCTGTTGCTGTTTCTGCAGACCGCCAGCGAACATGACTGCACAATCCTAACAATACGCGCGACCCAGTACCCTAAGCAGTACGACCAACCGCAGTGCACGAAATGTTACGAACGATCTGAGATGCATGGCTCACAGTACAAAGAAGTCAAATCATGTAGTGCTAGATTCGTCCCGCGGCTTCGCAGCCGCGCAGTGACACCATGCGGATGCATCAGGGGCAGGCAGAGGGACTGTCTTCCAGCTCGTGCTCGTCGCGCAGACTGTCCAGCCACTGCCTGTCAGCAGTCTGAACAAAAGCGATTGTCGGCCCAAACGTGTTAACTGCCATAATTCACACGGTTTCCTTCAGCACTCCAGAGAATTGCATATTTTATTTTAATCAAAGGACAAAATATTCCCTAGTTCATGGATTGTGTTGACTCTAAGAAACGGTCAACTTCGAACGAAGTTTCCTTCCTAATGCTCCATTGTCGAAGACGTCCAGCCGTGCGTGCATCCCATCCATGCCCAAGAGCCCATCATACCGTTTGGTACGTGCTCCTGTGCACCCTGGAACGCGTAGACAGCGGCCGCCATGAGTCAGAAATACTGGACAATTGCCGTCGCCGCACAACCACAAAAGCGAAATGGCGGCAGCATAACCCTGCATACAGGTATGGTAACAACAGGAAATTTCTGATCGAAGAGGTCTCAATACCAAGGTTGCTGTTTAGTGATGTACTCACAAGCGAGAACTACGAGTTCTGGTTCTGGCGGATGCAGACAGTTTTGCAGAAGGCGGGATGTCTCTCAGCCATCACGGAGGACCTTCCAGCGGCAAACGCAAGTTGATTTCACACATCGCGTCGTCACTGCGCTTCTTGGCGGCGGCGTAGCCAGGTGCGTCTACTGCTGGAAGGTCCTCCGTGATTGCTGAGAGACATCCCGCCTTCTGCAAAACTGTCTGCATCCGCCAGAACCAGAACTCGTAGTTTCTCGCTTGTGAGT